GTTATAAAATATTTATATTTTGAAAACAGACGAAGTAACGTGTACACATATATATGACTCAAACCAAAATATATGCTGTTAATACAATAGATCATTTTTATAAATCTAAAAAATTTAACATGAACCGGACCTAAGTTCAAATTATACATCTCTAACTTAGAGTTTAGTAGAAATTAGTAAATGAAAAAAAAAATATTTAGTATTTTTTATTTAGGAAAAGATATTTCATCATTTTCACTATGCATTTTTACGATTAAAAATTCAGTTGTTATTAATAAATTTGATTTAAGTACATCTGCTTTCAGTTTATTTGGTTTTAAATCAAAAAATATAATTATATATATATATATTAATAAAAGATTATGACTCTATGTTATATGGTGAGAAATCAGATTCACTATAACATAAAAATACTATTTTGTTATGTCATAATTTAGATAAATAATTTTCTATAATATTTTATAAATACTAATCACGTAAATAAAGAATCATCAAGTCAATAGAAAAGTTGTTTATATTTTAATATTACTAAATAATTTTTTTTACAAATAATATTTTATTTAAATTAATGAAATGACTGAAAAACTAGTCTTAACCTAAAATAATATTAATTAAAGTAATTTTTAAATCAAAATTATAATGATAAAATAGATTATGATAATATTTTTCTTATATTATATAGTCTATATATATAACTACACTACTATCTATTACTATATTTTTAATCGATTGATTTTATCCCGTTTGATAAACCTTTAGCCTAAAATATATACTATGGTATAAATAATAAATCTTTTACAGTTTTCATAAAAAAAATCCATTTACAGTTTATATTTAGGGTAAATTTGGAAAAATACATTTATCTAAGATTTTATTTTGAAATCTAGACCATTATTTAATCTTTTTGAAAATTACACTTTTATATATGTGAATTGACTAAATTACCCAGTCTTGATATTTAAAATTATTGTAATATATACATATATATATATATATATATATATATATATATATATATGTATCATAAGAAAATATGTAAACGACGTCTCACAAGAATATGATTTTATTTTCAAAACAAAACTAGTTTACATCTACGCAATACCTTTTCAAATATATATTGTTTTAAAATAAACAAAATAAATGCCTTCTTGCTCGTATATTCTTCCTATTTCTTTTTTTTTTTTTTTTTTTTTGACATCAAACGGCTGATCTATTACTCAAGACACTTGAGGTGGTCTGGGAAGCCAGACCGGAATAGAACAACCAACATACACAAGCTTACGATAAAACGACCTAGCTGTCTTCGCTAGAGAATCAGAAACGCCATTCTGTGCTCTAGGTACATAACAAATCTCGAAATCAGGAAAACAGATCTTCAAGGTCTCCAGTTTTTCCAGCTCTGTTGAGAAGTTAGGCCAGGCGTGAGGATTCTTGAGCATCTCTACCATCTCCTTGCAATCAGTTCCAAAGCTCTGACATGGCGAATGTTGAAGCATATTCTCCATTGCCCATCGCAGTGCTTCCAACTCTGAATGCAGCGCCGACTCCACTCGGTCAAAGTTCCGCAATCCCATGAGATTACTATTTCCAGAGTCATCAATCAAAACCCATCCACATCCACTGAAAGTATTTGTAGAAGTCCAAGATCCATCTACCATGCATATATTCCCCAAACTTAAGGTTTGGTCCTCATTAGGTCCACTCTCAGTTGAGGCCGGACTTTCCTGCTCATTTGCTCTAAACCATGCCTGACATTCACTTTCTGCATATCGTGCAACCTCCAATGGGTCCCTATCAATACCTCTGAAGAGCTTGTCGTTCCTAGCCTTCCAAATGTACCAGATCAACCAAGGAAAAGGATCCCTGTCTAATTCTGGTTCTATTAGCGCATTCTTCCTCCAGAACAGATAATCCATATTGGCGTACGTGCTTTGTAC